ATCAAATGTGATTTTAGAAGATAAATATTCTAAAATGACCACTGCATTGATAAATAACATTTTTCTCTTATATTTCTGATGTTATCTATTCCTTTCTTTCTCATTTATTTAGGACATTTAAACAAGTTTGCCAAGAGAATATGTATTTTATTCATGGGGTGTTATTTTATCTTATTCTTTTACGTTCTTGGATAAACTTTACATGTTACCTCTTGCAGTTCATGTTTGTTAGTTTATATTTTACTTCTCTCTTTAAATCTAATCATAACACATTATATATTCTCATCGCACGCTTCTTGCCGAATCTGTGTACGTATTCTAACACATTTTCCTTCTTTTCTTTCTTTTGTTGCCTTTGTCTACCACTGATGATTAGTGTGCAATCACGCATCAGACTCAGCATTTTTAAAAGCTTTGGTTGCGCACCTTGTTGAGGTTCTCGTTTGGGCATTTTTATATCTTTAAGTCTATGATGTAGATGTTTTTTTAGGGCAATATGCGGTATGACAGGGGGTAAGTATGCCTCTGTGAGATTTATTTGCGACGAACAACAGTTTGAACAAGTTTTTTACAACAAAATAGAAGCAAAATAATGTTTTGTATTTACAGATTACACATTTTCTGCATTTTTGTGGGTCTCATCTACAACACTGGCATTTAGTGCACTTATATGAAATGTGTAAATACCTCATGTAATACCTTTCTAGATAATTCTTTTGACTTATGTAACTGCAGATGATTCATGTCTTGATTATCGTAGTTTACAAAGATAAAATAGGTTACACAAAAAAGAACTTCAAATACAACATCCTAACCTGTGCAAAGAAAACGATCATCTTCAACACAATAATAGAAAACGCATCGATCTAACCTTTCAAAAATGAACGAACATGAAGTGACTCACATGAAGCGGGATTATGTTGCAAGAGAGTGTCGCTTGCCACTTGCATGCATGTTGCCGACTTCCATTGATATTTCGCTTTTTCTTTCCAAGAGATCATATCCTTGTGTATACAAACAACTAACAATCATCTTCGCAGGGTTTTTGATGTTTCCTATTTACTTTTGATGTTATATACGAAGCCCCGTTAATGCAGGATGGCTTTCGGACAAGAATGTAAGAAAACAAGAGAAGCAAAACATGTTATTAACGCTGAAATAGCTAACTAAGCTGGTAACTTTGGACTGATCCGTAAGAATGTGGTGCTGGTATTGGCTACTGTGAAATTGTTGTTGTTGGTGACTTATTGATAATGGAGATAATATTAGATTTAATCATCGGCGAAAGAGGTAAACCAATTAAAGGATGTATTACCCAATGATACTTTCAATCGTATAGCAGATGTCATATATATGATAATCTTAGAGGCAAATTATAAAGTACATCAATAAATATCTTTCTGTCGTAGCAGATACAAATGTTGATAAGATAAAGAAAATGGAATGTTTACCCATATCCGTTACAAAAGTTGTTGTTTTTTTCGTTGCTACTTCTTTCGTGATATATTGTTTACACTATTTATTTCCTCTCTTAAAGTTGATAGATAATTCAGGTTACATATTTCTGGATAATTTTACGCCACACAAAAAATCCAGCTTCTATGTTTTTTTACTGGTTCATAAATCTGTTTCATATATCAACCTATATAGTTAGAAAATCGTCGAAAATCCAAGTGTGAAGTGATTTTATCCACTTAACACACTTTTTGCTCACACGCTTAGCCTTATAGGTTAAGCATAGATTTACCAAGAATCAGTGTGTGTTTATGCTGAGAGGGAGAGCAAGTGAGAGAGCGAGCGAGTGGGAGAGACAGAGAAACAAGGGGGGGAGAAAGAGAGAGACAGAATGATCGACAGAGTGAAAGTGATAAAGATATATACATATATACATATATATATATTATATATATATATATATATATATATATATATATATATATATATATATATATATATATAGAGAGAAGAGAGAGAGAGAGAGAGAGAGAGAGAGAGAGAGAGAGGAGGGAGGAGGAGAGGAGAAAGAGACAGACAGGTTAAACGACGGATCGAGAGAAAGAAAAAGATAGGGATAAAAAACATACAGACAGACAGAAGAACAGACAGATAGAGAAAAGACGGGAGAGAGGCAGAAAGACAGACAGACATGCTGATCGACAAAGAATATACGAGAAGGGAGAGGAAGGCTTTGCAGTATGTAATTCTTCCACTTCTCTATTTCCTTTGTGGCTTTTCTTTTATTCCCTTCTTGCTCCTGTTTCTCTCCTTTCTCCCTCTGTCGCTCCTTCTTGACTGCCCTTCTTTACATTTTTTTCTTTATCCTTTTTCCTCATTCATTTTTTCCGTCTGTTGTATATTCTTCTTTATTTCCTTCATTTGTAATCTTCTCCAGGATTACGAAAATTGAGAAAAAAATAGAAAAAATAGAAAACAAAGAAATTGGAATCACATTATTGTTCCGTATGCTTTACGCCATGCATTCTACTTAATATGTTTCTTATTCGTTCATCTATTTATCTTCTCTATTCTTAAGTATAGTGTAGTCGTCATTACAGTCACCTATGGTTCGCAGAGACGGTAAAATCACCAGAACATCAAAATATTAAAGCGAAGGTCCAGTTTGAACCCACATGTCCATGAATAAATATACATTAAAGCATAAAAAATCAATATATGGTCAAATTTTTGGAAAGGCAATTGAAATTAAAAAAAAAAAAATCGGCGTTTTTTGTATTCTCCGCGCCCGTCGTCTGCTAAATGATTGACATCGCGAGGGATTTTTAGAAATTGGAGACCTCGCTATACCCTCTTCGGATTTATTTCAGACGTAGAGACAGATATACATTACTGTTGCTTCACTAGAGTATTTATTATTACTTCACTGGATAGAAGGAATGAATAGGAGTTCGCGGAAACATCTTTTTAAAGCAAAGGCATAACGCTTTTTTTATAGCACTCATCTTGTCATATACTATCAGCTATGTATCATGACATCGGTGTTTAGATAAGACTTATCTCTCAAGATATCTAGTGGTTATCTGTTTATGTGACACCGGGTATCGACCTATAAAAGAAAAGAAAAGAGAGAGAGAAAAGGAGGAGACGGAGACGAGTAATCGGAAGGAGAAGAAGAGGGAGAGAGGAGAGAGAGAGAAGAGAGAGAGAGAGAGAGAGAGAGAGAGAGAGAGAGAGAGAGAGGAGAGGAGAGAAGAAGAGAGAGAGAGAGGAGAGAGGAGAGAGAGAGAGAGAGAGAGAAGAGAAAGGCGGGGGAACGTAGGAGAGAACCAGAGAGGAAAGGAGAGAGACAGAGTGCGAAGGACAGATAGAGAGAGAAAGGGAAAGTTGAACAAACACGCCAAACCCACAGCTATAATGAATAATAATAATAATAATGATAATGAAAATAGATTATGAGCTTCTTCAAAGAGAGTGGGTCTGTACACCGAAGAAAAAATACGAACACAGACCTTATCGTACATAACACACGGGAAGTTATACAAAATGATATACACACTTCGGTTCCTATAGCTAATTATACATGAAGGGAAAACGCTTTTCTATTTTTAGATTCAGGTACAGGAGGCGCGCTGGTATATGAGGTTGTGGGGGGGGTGGTGGGGGGTAGCAGTACTACACGCTTGGAAATCACAAGTTTTATGACAGTGCCAATGTCAGATATGATAGCACAAGTCATGCAACAAGTTAAGCCAAAAATTGCTCAGAGGAAAGATGTGCCCTTTTTACAACTGTTTCAGAAAAAAATATGAAATTAAAATCTCATTGTGGTATCATCAAAGGGGGGGGGGGGGGGGTAGGTATAAAACAATTCCATTACAAACCTTTATAAAACAATTTCCTTTGTTTAATCCTTCATTCCAATTCATGCATGGTTTTCACAAGAATCTCTTGACAGGTCTTCAGATACGGAAATTCCTCCCCAAATTTAGACATTTCTGTTGACCTCCTTAAACATAAACTGTTACTGAACTTCATGCTCAGTATGTATGTGTGTGTGTGTGTGTGTGTGTGTGTGTGTGTGTGTGTGTGTGTGTGTGTGTGTGTGTGTGTGTGTGTGTGTGTGTGTGTGTGTGTGTGTGTCATTATTGTTTGCAACGATCTTCGTGATAAATATTTTTGTGACCTTGCCTTGCTTTGCGCCCGTGATCTTTTTGCGATAACTTATTTACAGACTGACGCTCTTTATGAATTACTTTTTTACTTTTTCTGTGAACTTGACCTTCTCGCGATAGCCTTCTGACACAGCACTTATGGCAAAAAACGGTTGTATTTTCCACTGCTATTAACCCAAGCAAGAAGAAAAAATAACAACTGCTGTTCCTACTGCTATTAATACTCCTACTACAACAATCTCTACTACTAGTATTTCTATTATTACTGTTACTACAACTATAACAACTATAACGAGCCGAGTATTCTTGGTTGAGTTCCACTTCACACCGCATGGAAAACATTTTTACATTTATGTTCAGTGATTGTCCAGAGTATATTAATTTCTTTCGCAGCATAAGTTGCGTCATAAAATTTACTACATCATTTCCGTCTCTCAGATTCCATTACATGTCAGTCACTACTCATACACAGAAAGGGTTCTTTGTTTTGAGAATTTCGTTTGTTTTTTTCGCTAAAGGACTTCCTTGATGTCTGTATTTGGTAATAAGGTTGTTTTGAAGACATTTCCAGCATAACATTTCACCGAAAACGATGAAGGACGGTTAGTTGTAGTTGCATGATATGAATTTGATATGGATATGAACCGGAAAGTCAGTTTCATCAAATTTAACCTGAAGCTGAATTTTCCGGGTAAATCTTATTTTTGTGGTATTGTCAGAGATAGCACTCGCTGTCCATTTGTAAATGTTATTTATTATCAATTTAACAATAAATATAATAAATAGATAGATCACATCTGTACAAATAAATACAAACAAATAAATAGTTTAACAATACAAGTAATCAACAAATAACTTACATATCCTAAC